CTCTACAAATGACAATGGCAACATACGAGCGGCGCGTAACGCTAGATCCTTGTGTCCTAGTGATCGCGTAGCAGTGGGACGTCCTTCTCACCGCGCGCGCTTTACTCGCGCGGATTCGCCGATCTTTTTTCGTTAATTACTCAGTACTTATTATGAAAATTAAAAAATGGTAAAGGACTTTTCTACTCGATTTGACCTCCTCTACCTGTATATGACCGGTGGGGCGATTATTGCCAGACACCCTGTATAGGGAAGCAAATAAAAATAAGCTTCTTTAAAGACATTTTGTCGTGTGTAACTCGCACAAAACAACAATAAATTCCTCGTGTTTTGTTATTTTTTCCACATTATCGCCATATCTAACCGAAGAAGTTGAGTTATGTCTGCAAAAAGCACATTGTAATCATATAATTTTATTGTAAAATCTATAGGCATCCTAAAACCTGTCTCTCCATAGGATTTATGATGGCCATTAGACTTTATAATGGAATGAATTTTTATTGCGATATATTTTTTCGCTGACATAACCGAATTTCTTTGGTTAGATACGGTAGCAATGAGGAAAAAAATAACAAAACGCGAAAAATATATGCAAAAATATTTAATATTTAATAATATAATTAAATATTTTAATATTTATTGTTAAGAAATAAAAAAAAAGGTTACCTTTTATGAAAAATATCTCCAAAGCACGATGACGAAACGACTGACCACGGCGGAAGAGATAGGCGGCGCCTATTAAGCCCGTGTCACACTACGCATTGGATGCGATCGGATTATCATTGCGGATCGGAATTCAGCCAATCAAGGCGAAGCAGCATGTTGTTTGATGTGAAACAGGTGCTTAATAGGCGCCGCCTATCTCTTCCACCGTAGTCAGCCGTTTCTTCGTCGTGCTTTGGAGATATTTTTCATAAAAGGTAACTTTTTTTTCTTACTTCTTAATATAAATATTAAAATATTTAATTAGATTATTAAATATTAAATATTTTTGCACATATTTTTCGCGTTTTGTTATTTTTTCCTTATTGCTACCGTATTTAACCAAAGAAATTCGGTTATGTCAGCGAAAAAATATATCGCAATAAAAATTCATTCTATTATAAAGTCTAATGGCCATCATAAATCCTATGAGGAGACAGGTTTTAGGATGCCTATAGATTTTACAATAAAATTATATGATTGCAATGTGCTTTTTACAGACATAACTCAACCTCTTCGGTTAAATGCGACAACAATGGAAAAAATAACAAAACGCGAGGAATTTATTGTTGTTTTGTGGGAATTTCACACAGCAAAATTTTTTTGAAAAAGCTTATTTTTACTTATTGCTTTCCTATGAGTTACGGTTTAATTTTCCAAAGCTAGTTCTCCTTC